TATTATTATTATTATTATTATTATTATTATTATTGAATGTTTTCTATCCATACAGAATAGAATGCTATATTTTTTCGCGCAATGTCCCTTGGCTATTGAGCAATATATGTTTTGTGCCCATAGATACTGAAATCTCTTCTCAAAGAGGTTCTTTAAAACAAATCATGGAAATGTTGAAATTCATTTTCTATAAATATTTATCATATTTTTTTTTATTGATTTCTTTCTTTCAACGATAGGCATTTCCAATGTCTCGAATTTCCAAAATCCAAGTACAAAAATTTCATTATATCAGGGTCGTTCAAAGAGCAACGATCAAGCGAGCAAGACATTTTTTATTATCACGAGAGAGAGAGAGAGAGAGAGAGAGAGAGAGAGAGAGAGAGAGAGAGAGAGAGAGAGAGAGAGAGAGAGAGAGAGAGAGAGAGAGAGATGTTACCGTGAATGTAGTCAGCACCAATCACTGACATAAAGAAAAAGTAAAATTCTGATAGATATAAAGATAATTTACATACAAGATCTCGTCGGCCTGGCGTTGTCAGATATAGCTTGGTTGCATTATTAAATCGTAGATTCACCCATGCCTAAGGAATAATAGAAATGTTATTTCAACCATCAAACTAACAATCAATTATATTTTTCGTGCATGGCAGCGTAGTAGATTTATATATAATGCATTGTTGATCAGCTCGTTAAGGTCTGTTGATCCCTCTATTAGTCACACTATCCGTCCGCATTTTGGTTTTCTTTAAATGTTTTGTTAATTGTTACATTTGGCAAAATTTGGTATACAGATTTATATCAATTAACTCCCAAAAGTGTTTGATTTCCAGCTTTCTTCTCTGTCATTTTGAGGAGTTATGACCCCTGACAGCCCGTTCTCCTAACCGTCGTTTACATAGCATAACTAAGGAGGTTTTAATTTGATACGAATTTTATATAAAAATTTGAATTGATGAGACTATGAATAAGCTCCATTCCCAGCATTCTACGTTATCGTTTGCAACAAGCTCAATTCCCAGCATTCCACGTTATCGTTTGCAACAAGCTCAATTCCCAGCATTCCACGTTATCGTTTGCAACAAGCTCAATTCCCAGCATTCCACGTTATCGTTTGCAACAAGCTCAATTCCCAGCATTCCACGTTATCGTTTTCAACAAGCTCAATTGTACGCATTCCACGTTATCGTTTGCAACAAGCTCAATTCCCAGCATTCCACGTTATCGTTTGCAACAAGATAAATTCTCTACATTCCACTTTATCGTTTTCAGCAAGCTCTATTCTCAGAATTCCAAGTTATCGTTTGCAAGAAGCTCAATTCTCCGCATTCCATGTTATTGTTTGCAACAAGCCCAGTTCTCAGCATTCTAAGTTATCGTTTGCATCAAGCTGAATTCTCAGCATTCCACGTTATCGTTTGCAACAAGCCCAGTTCTCCGCATTCCACATTATCGTTTGCAACATGCGCAATTGTACGCATTCCACGTTATCGTTTGCAAGAAGCTAAATTTTCCGAATTCCACGTTATCGTTTGCAACAAGCTCAATTCCCAGCTTTTCACGTTATCATTTGAACAAGCTCAATTCTCCGAATTCCACGTTATTGTTTTCAACAAGCCCAGTTTTCAGCATTCAAAGTTAACGTTTGCAACAAGCTCAATTCTCCGAATTCCACGTTATCGTTTTCAACAAACCAGTTCACAGCATTAAAGTTATCGTTTGCAACAATTTCAATTCTCCGAATTCCACGTTATCGTTTTCAACACGTTATCGTTTGCAACAAGCTGAATTCCTAGCATTCCACGTTATCATTTGCAACAAGCTGAACTTCCAGCATTCCACGTTCTCGTTTGCATCAAGCTCAATTCTCCACATTCCAGGTTATCGCTTGCAACAAGCTCAATTCTCCACATTCCACGTTATCGTTTTCAACACGCCCTGTTCTCAGCATTCCACGTTATTGTTTGCAACAAGCTGAATTTCTAGCATTCCACGTTATCGTTTGCAACAAGCTGAACTTCCAGCATTCCACGTTCTCGTTTGCATCAAGCTCAATTCTCCACATTCCACGTTATCGCTTGTAACAAGCTTAATTCTCCACATTCCACGTTATCGCTTGCAGCAAGCTTAATTGCCAGCTTTTCACGTTATCGTTTGCAACATGCTCAATTCTCAGCATTCCACGTTATTGTTTGCAATTTGAATTGTACAGTGTAGAGTCGCATTTTCTGCACTGTACCATCTAATAACTTATAGTGTTAGTCTGTGATCAAATGTTCTGCATCGACTGAAAATTGTTCTTTATTTACCTGATAAAAATTGCAAATTATATTTTTAAAAAAAACCTCTGGTTTAAAAGGTCACAATTTTCCTTTTTTTAACTCTAGAGTGCGAAAGTCTTCCTTTAATTTCCTGTGAATGATAGCCTTCTGTCGATTCCATTTGTAAGTAATGTTTGAATAGCTAAAAAAAATATAAGACAATTTATCTACCTGCTACTATTTATATCAAATATTACATATTATCACGGATAATATTGTTTTCTTACTCCAGGAATTTTGTTTTGAAAAAAAGGACAAAAAATATCATTCTCTTTTTCGTATGTCCAATAGGTGACGCACCTCCAAGTTCTCCATTTAAAAAGAAGGTTGAGTTTGGAGGTTAAAAAATGTAATTCTTCAAATTTAATAGAAAACGCAAAATATCGATTTCCAGTGTTCCACATTATGGTTTAGCAGACTTATAAATCCTGATTGCCGTCTTCGCTAGCCAAGATTGCGGTAATAACCCTATCTACATCTGGACGGATCGAGCAGATATTTTAGTTCTTCGTCCTAGTGACATCTATTGGATTTCATGAGTTGCCTACCTTAATATGTAATGCCAACAAACCATTAGTATGCAACTGTTGTGCATTTTATATCGACCGAAAATGATGGATATACTTGAGTTTAAAAGGATTCTTTGTAAATTTAACAAAGAAAGTGTGATTAGGTACCAGCGAGAAGCCATTACAGGTATATTTAAGTGAAAGGTATTTATACAGACACGGACCGGCAGTAAAAATATTTTCTTATTTATGAGTTCCTTCAAATTGTGAGCTCCCCAATTCTCGATTATGTAGGAACAGTGTTCAAATTTGAATAGATTAGCTGACTGGATGCGATTGCTTGCCGCCGTATCTAATGAAATTTACATACCAGAAGCACGAAAATATTTGCTCGATCCGCGAAAGTGTAGATACAATTAACATCTTAGAACCTTGGCGAGTGAAGAGGTCTGATTGCCTGACCACATTCCTTTGGTTTCTAAAACGTTACCTTCTTTACCAAAGATTGAATTTCACTCAGATTTGGCGTGCATCTTTACATTGATGATCCCTTTAAAGACTCGAACTTCAGGCATTCCATAATTTGGAAGAGCAACGGCCAATGAATGTTCATTCTCCTGACATTGTTTCCCATCATTTTTGATGATGAATTCTATTAACAACAACGGTGACAGATAATATTTCCCGCACCAAAATTGCCAGCAAGATATCAAAGCATGTTATTTTTTTTCTATTTTCAGCGCACAAGGATTTTGTCTTTTCCTCTGCTGTGCCGATGGCAGACGAAACACATGGTGCAGAGGAGGTCGCCATTTATGCACGTGGACCAATGGCGCACTTATTCCAACGTACGCATGAGCAGAACTATATACCTCACGTGATGGCTTACGCTTCTTGTGTTGGGGAATATGTAACAGATTGTGATCGTCCAATCAGATCTGTCGCCAGTTGCCCTGTTTCCATGATAACTGTTATATTTGTGTGTATATTATGCTCAAAACATTGGATGTTTTAGAAGACGAGGGAAAGTCATCTCATTGAAGGGCTATATCATCTTGACCTTGATCCGCCATTTTGCAAAAAGTAAAGAGAGAATCAGCAAAAAGAATAAAATGAAGATGTATCATTTTTTCACAAATTCGAGGCACAAGAACATTATTGGTCTGATCATAAATTTATATTTTTTCACAGACTTTTTTTAAAAAAATAAATAAATTTTTAGCATTATCATTATGCAATCGAGTTCGTGTATCTATATTTGTTTATTCAAAAGCAATCATACGCCCACATTTTATTTTTAGAACACAGTTACTCAGTTGGACAAGACATGTTAAAGTGAAGTTTCTCAGTAATGTCCGTCTAGTGAATTTCTTGTATGGTGAGAATAAAGTTTCTGAACAGAGAGATGACCAAGCCAAGTTGTTTCTCTGTTTAACGTCTGATAGATTTTACTGAATCAGAAGCACCCCCACCCACACAAACACACACACAACGAAGTGTGTGTGTGTATGTGTGTGTGTGTGTGTGTGTGTGTGTGTGTGTGTGTGTGTGTCCGCAGATGCGGACTTTAGCACCACATTTTTTCGGTTGCAATTAATACTGTTTGTTTCAATAGAAGTATATTTCATTAGTTCTGATCGGATTTTTAAAAAAAATAAACTGGTTTCTTTTATGCGAAAAGCGTTGAAGTTTGTGATAAACTATTTTTTTTTCAAATACCTTTTCATTTTGGGCCTAATATGACGGGTTGTTTTGGTATATGACTTAGACGTTGAACTAAGAAAAGACTTCACATGACCTTACTAGGTTGCTGATAAATATCAGTAATAAACCTGATAAGGTCTTGATTATTTCATGGATTCCCTCATGTTACAATTTAATTTGTGTGTGTGTGTGTGTGTGTGTGTGTGTGTGTGTGTGTGTGTGTGTGTGTGTGTGAATTGAATTTTTAACGTAGCTTTACAAATTTCAGTTATTTTGCTACAATATCTGCAGTTTGGCAGTTTAATGATGTCTAGCACTGGTGCGTCATGCCGCAGACACATAGCATGATGTCCCACCCAGTCACATTATCATGACACAAGGCAGACCAGTCCTAACACCCACATCTTAATGCTGAGTGTCAAGCGAGGCAGCTGCTAGTGCCATTTTTTTTAAGAAAGTCTTTGGTATGACTAGGCAGTGGTTCGAACCCGCGACCTCCCGCATCCGAGGCGAACGCTCTAGCCACTAAAGGCACTGAAGCATTTAGAATTTATTGATGCAGTGCATCTCTTTTTGCATTGTATATAAAGACATTTTAACATTTTTTTGTTTCATCGCCATGAAGAAATCTCTCTCTCTCTCTCTCTCTCTCTCTCTCTCTCTCTCTCTCTCTCTCAACCTGTTTTACTCAGAATGAGTTAATACAATCACAATATCGTTATACTTTCTTTCCTTTGTGTATCAGTGCTGCTCGTACCCGCCGAAGCGTACTATATAGTTTTATTGCAGCTCTTATACGATTTATTGAAATTAAAGTCATTTAACTCTTGATAAAATCGTATTTAGTTGAACAGAAGATTACGATTTAAAAACTTCGATGTGAAAAAATCTTGACCTTGTAACATTCCACTCCTTGTTTATTCTTATATTAACCTTATAGTAATGAGATTCTTTCTCTATCCTACAATACTCTGCGATACCATACGAAGCGTAGCACGGGGAGGGGGTGTCATGTATATAATGAGGGAGCCGCGGTAGCTCGCTGGACATGTAAGACAAAAGTCTGGGTTCGAACCTTGCCCAGATAAATCTGTCTGGGGCAGCTGCTGATTTGTTGTCTCTGGGTAAGGCACTTTATTACTATATCCCTCGGCACAATATATCCTTCATGTGTTTATGTGCCGATAACATGAAACAAACATTTTTGCTGAAATTATTCTTGGGGGAGGAGGTGGGAAATGAGTTAGGAAACTGTATTTGGGAAAATAGTGTTAGGTACCGAATCTAATACAATTTAGTCTTGACGTAGCTATAATTTTAAGCCAGGAATAAGTCGCTGTACAATTTAATGATGTTGCATTGCTGATCTTATTGTGATCTAACTCTAATAAGATTTCGCCCTTTACGAGTCCCTTATGTAATCCGCATGGACTCGGGAATGCAAAATACACCTGATGTGATACCTGCATTTCGTAAGAGGCAGGAGTCCCGATGGCCCAGTAGTTAATGTGCCCAACAGAAACCGACCATCTCATTAGCCCAAATCGGTTACTGTCTCTTGTTATTGGCCAAGGAAATTTACTGTTATTGCCTGTGTTATTTTCCTGTGCTGTAAAACCACAAATCAAACCAAATAAACACATATAAAATTACAAATTCCAAGTCTAACTTGGAATAAAGATCCTATCAAAAAGCTTCACTCATGCTTCCTTGACTTTTATCTTGACTTTGAGCCTAAGGATGAATCAGTATTACAGAATGCTCTTGGCGAATTTACAACAATAAGCTTATTTCGAAATTCACTGAAGCAATCAAGCCATTAGAAAATAATTACAGTACCTATCAGTCAGCTTCGGGTGATGCAGAAAATATACCAGCAATTAGGGAAATAATCTGATACGTTTTAGTCAAATGTGTAGCGTAATGTTTCGGTTGATATTTATATTTATTTTCCCACTGGTATCGCATGCAAGAAGAAATAGAAACTGGGTCTGATGCTAAATTCGAATGTAAGACGACCAGCTATTTGTGTGCCAGATATATAATCTACCTGCTGATCGCTTCATTTTTAGTTCTGCCAACACTTACCAAAATGATCTTTTTTCGCAATTTTCGATGAATTATACCCATCACGCATTTCAAGTGTTCACTTACATTTCAAGTTAAACTGCAAATACATAACGTGTCGGTTTACGAAAAAAGGTAAAAAAAAAATAAGCAGGTCCCAGAAGATGAATTAAATTAATACGATCACTGTTTCCTTGATCAACACAAATTATTTGTTAATTCAGACGTGTATAAAATTGGTGAAAAACAAATACGTTATAAATTATATTTTGAAGAAAAGCTGACGTATTTTCAAATACGGAACAGATAAAAAAAAACGAGCTACAGTTACGCCGTAAGTTCAATATAAATAAATAATTCAACTATTAGAACAGTTATATTTTTAAACCAAATTAAGAAAATATTTTAAACCAACAAAGTGTACATTTCATATGTGGAGAGATGTGTAAACCATTCGTCATAAATGAAATAGACTACAATATTGAAATAGCCTACAGTATTGAAATAAACTACAGTATTGAAATAGATTGCATTATTGAAAATAAAACTACAGTATTGAAATAGACTGCAGTATTGAAAAAACTACAGTATTGAAATAGACTGCAGTATTGAAATAGACTGCATTATTGAAAAAAAACTACAGTATTGAAATAGACTGCAGTATTGAAATAAACTACAGTATTGAAATAGACTGCAGTATTACTTAGACTTTCAATAGCAGCTTGTATATAATTTCGTGCAATAATTTTATGGACCTAATTCACGACCAATCTTCGTTGAACATGAATATTTTCAGGCATTTTTAATTAAAAAATGATTAAAATTATTAAAAGAAAGCAAAATTGAGACTGAAATTTATCTCATTGCCCATTATACTCTTTTTATTCATTATTCATGGGTATTTTTCAAACTTCGTTAGCGAATATTCGAACGTGAATTAAACCGCAACGACTAAATAAAATATGAGATATTTTATACTGTCTGGGACCAAGTATAATAAAACCTGCATCCCTCCATCCATACCTACATACCTACCTATCTACATACATACATACATACATACATACATACATACATACATACATACATACATACATACATACATACATACATACATACATACATACATACATACATACATACATACATACATACATACATACATACATACGTACGTACGTACCTGCATACATACATAAGACACGACAAGCATATATAATTTACAAGGAAGTCAGTAGAGTCACTCCAAATGGTCCGGGTCGTCGAGTGGTCCAAAATTGTCTTCCCCATTACAAATCACTGATACCTCACCTGTGTCTGCGTCGGTTCGAGTCGCGGTCAGCGTCCGGTCAACTAAATATACTGTCCGCCATCTATATATAGTCCATAATATGCCAAATGACGTTAAACCTGCAAAACCAAGCTTAAAAGATCCAGTCGTTTTGCAGTATCTGACTCGATATACCTCTAATAAATGTGGTTACATCGAATCTCTAAGTGGAGATAGATCATCATTTGAGTCAAGCTAAATGTGCGGTAAGTTTGTATTTATTTTTAATGTGAACATCTATTCATATTATTTTCTTTCTTTAGCTTAAGACATAAAAATTGATTTTTTTTTCTTCAGATATCTTGCATTTATGGAAAAAAATCGGAAAACTGAATGAATAGTATAAATCACTGAGATATTTCTTTTCTTTTCATTTCATTTGTGGTGTCTCTTAAAGCATCAATGCACCAGGGCCGGCCCGATGAGAAGTGGAAACCAAAAGTCATAGTTTGTCTTAAAGGTCCCAAAACCCTATGGCCGGCCCTACACTGCACGATGAAAAACTATGTTGCCCCATTTAAATTACTCTGTAACGCAGTACAGAGGTAATAAGAAACGAGACACTTGCTATCGAATCTGATTCCTATTAATTTATACCGAACAATCTTGAAGAAATTGTTGCTGATTTTTCTTTTCTTCAGTTAAACAACTAGCCTATATATCATTAGAAAAATGAATTCAGTATTTTCTTTCCTAATGCACTCTGAGAAATGTTGTGTGCTTCATTCGAAATTTACTGTCATACATTTTATTTCTTTCTGTTATCGGTATAGATTTATCACTTGAAAGGGGTGAAAGCAATGGTATTTAATGGTGGAAGACATTATACTTTACAGACAGCATCTTTCTATAAAATGTTCAGGGACTTTCAATCAATTTATTGGGGTGGGGATGGGAGGTGGTCGAAGTGGGGTAGCAGTAGACCTAGTCACAATTTCTCTTTACAGACACATGGGTTTGTTTGTTTACAGATAGATTGGGCTTAAACTTTATGATGAGTACATCACACAGACATTTCTCCAATCTTACATAAAGCATGAAGTATCGCAAGAAAACTCCAATTTTGAAATAATATATTTATGTACAAATAATTACTTTTCATTTTAACCACATTCTCTTCTTCGTCACTGTAACTTACTGTAACTTATCTATTCATACAACTTTGCATTCCTCTAGCCTAGCATAAAATGAACAGCGCATGCGCACAGCGCATGTCGTTAGGTACGTAAAAATATAATAAAATCAAACAAAGATATAACATCGATGATATATTCTTTAAAATAAAATACGTGTACTTTCTTTTCCTTGATACGTGACGATCAGAAGACAAACTATTTATTAAAGTCTAGATATATTGAAGTCTATATAAAGTCTACATATAAAGTGTCTTGTATCGAGATATCACACAACATCAGAGCCAGTATTGTTTGGATACGATTATTATGGACGGCCATCGATGCCATAAGTATGAAATTAGAACAAATAAATAAAAACTAAAATAAAACAAGACTCAAACGTCAAACGACGTAAGCGGCATTTAAATGACACGAGTTCAATTTAAGCTGATTAAGCTTACCTTAAATGAAACTAAGTAAAAAACATAAAATTTAAAGAAATACAAACCTGTACATAACACATGGGCAAACACCTTTGCCGGATTACCCATTAAAAGACACTACGTACGTGCTTAGGGCACCTGCCCAACAGGGACACCATAAAAAATTTAAAGTAATTGTTGATGATTAAACTGAATGAATTATATCTGACCATTTCGATCTGCGTGCACAAGTATTTTATTTTGGAATGATGGCAGCACTGGTATTTTATCACCTTTTTAGCTTTTAATATTTTATAGTTTCTTTGTTTAATTTAACATTTGGTACTGGTGGGGCACGATAATATTTACTGTGCTTGAGGGCCCGGGAAGGGTTTAATCCGGCCCTGGCAAACACAAATAACAAACGAATGACATAAGATAGTCAACTCATCAACTTTATCCAAAACAAAAATAGAGGGTGTCCATGCATAATAAAGAGCGATTACTTTTATTGAATCAGGAGGGTCCAAAAAAAAATTGGAACATCGCGTGAGTCAAGATGATATAACTAAATTAGCAAGGCTAGTAAATAAATTAGTCGGTTTGTT